TTCCAAATTTTTCTTATATATAAGGTGAGGTCTTTCACTAAGATCAGAGTAGGATTTCCCACATTGAGGATATTCATAGGGTTTCTCTCCAGTCTTTGTCCTTGCATGCTTCTGAAAGGACTGGAAATCACCACAGGTTCTTCCATGTTCATTACTTTTACACAGATGCTCTTCTGATCCCAAGTACTCATATGTCTTCAGTCCAGTGTGAGCTACAATGGGCACATTTAGTGACAAATGCCCAATCAGGGGCTTTCTGCAAGCAAAGCTTTCAGCTGGGTTTAAACCAGCTTGTTTCATGTCCACATTAGCGTCTGGAGTCCAAAGGAATATTTCTTCATATTGATTCCAACCTCTATTTTGATAGCATTTCTCTACCTCTTCATTTCTTAGATTTCTCCAGTAACTTTTGTACTCTTCTTCACCTTCCTGGATATCCCAGGCTCCTTCTACAGCAGCTATGTTCCTAAAAGTTTCCCTCATCACATCTCTGTAGAGCTTCTTTTGGGATGGATTCAGCAAAACCCACTCCTCTATGGATGGTGAAGTTCACAGACACATCCTCAAAGGTCACTGCCTCCATTGTGTGGCTTCAGGTTTTCCCAGGGTCCTTCCTCCCATGCAGTATGTAGTCAGTACAAGTCACAGATGTTGGCCTAGTGGGGTGGGGGGTGGGGGTACTCTCAGCAATGTAGTCTCCTGGAAATTTTAGAACAGTAATTCTGCTTGCCACTGTCCCACAATCTTTGTTGTCCTATCCTAGCCTCAGTGTTAGGCAGTGCACCTGTGTGCCTGAGCCTCCTTTAGAAGTGAGTCTTTCTTAGTATTCCCAGCTCTCTTCCTCATGTATTAGTGGTTAGTCTTCGGCAGGATTTTCTGCTCCTTCCCCAGTAGTGGTAGTAATTAATAGCATCAAATTATTTCTGCTGAGACTCGGGGATTTAGCTGAGTGGTTCCACCACCTGCCTTGCAAATGCAAGGTCCCGAGTTCGATCCTCAGTACCAAAAAATAATTTCTACTGTCCTCCAAATGAAGGTATTTTGCCACCTCCAACCTCCAAGAAATAAAGGGTCTTTGGCTTTGTCATGGGATTGAGTGGGTATACTATCCTTCTCTCAGAGGTTGAGGGATTTGGCTTCTGCTTCTTCCACAAAAGCAGTATCTGCGTTCTGGGGGAATATTTGCTAACCCTCCATCAATGACTTAAGGCTTTTGCTTGTGGCAGAAGGGTCCAGGAAACAGGTGGGGTTTTGTGCCCGTCCACCTCAGCAGCAGCTGTTATGTGTGTCTGTGCCTTCTAGAGGGTTCGTTCCAGTGTCCTGTTGTGCCCCTGCTGTCTCTTGTGAACACCTGATGGAAAATCATAAAAAAAAGTTTATGAATGAGTATAGACATTCTTCATAACTGAGACTCCCAGTTACTCCAAACTGAAATGCTATCCCACAGCTGCCAAGAATATAAAAATTTTGTGTTTTCTTCTTAGCAGTCTTCCTTCCTGCTGTGCCGTGTGAAACAGTTTGTGTGTCCCACCTCTCCTTGGAGGTGCTTGTCCCTCTCTAGAATTCAGTTTACTTTTATCCTTTCAATGTCAGTTCTGATAGACAAAAATTAAGATTTTGTAGATTACAAAGAAGCAACAGAAGATTAGGGAGAATATACAGTTATGTGTTACCAAAACTGCTTCACAAAAAGTCACTGGGCTATCTGGAGACACCTTTGGGCCAGCTATAAAGAATCCCTTTAAAAACAGTCTGTCAGAAAGAGACAATTCATCTCCTGGTCATGGTTTGTCCAAGGAGACCTCTCTCTGTGGGCTTCAAAATTGTGCCGTTTTACTCAGAGCTGCTGTTGAGGCCACAGCCAGTGATCTGTGTGGCATTTCACTGGAGGCTGAAAGTGTCAATTATAAAGGCTCTGTGACTTTACCCTACTTCCAAGGTAGGAAGTTAGCCTGCCACAGTACCATGAGTGAAGAATGAAGACTGTTACCTCAAAGACAAAGGACAGTTTACTGCACTGTAATGACAACAGCAGCCTAAATATTAAATCTGTACCATCAGTTCTTCAGGCCCAAATCTTTTTTTTTTTTTTTGGTACCAGGGACTGAACATAGGACCTTGTGCTTTTGAGGTAGGCATGGTACCACTCAGCTAAATCCCTGGCCCAAAACAATTCCTTTTTTATTTCCTTCATATAAATATTTCATTTAAATCTTTTTCTTTTTCTTTTTTTCTGGGTGCCTGTTATCGAACTCAGGACCTTGCGCTTTAAGACAGGCAGGCATGAAATTCCCTAGCCCAAAAGATTTCTAAATCTCTATTGAACTTTTTTTCTTGGTACCAGTAATCAAACTAAGGGCCTCCCGCTTGCTGCTTGCCAGGCAGGCTCTGTGCCTCTGAGCTACATGCCTACATGGCCCCTCCCCCCATCCAAATCTCACAGAGTGCCTCAGACCACCAGGTGATGCTTCCACATGCCTTTGGGTTGCATTCCAGGACAGAAACACCAAGCTTTGGAAATCTTAATCATTTATAATGAGATCTGGTAAACAATCTCATAATGAACAAGCTAGTAAGCATGTCTGACTTTTCCCAGTGGAAGAATTTATTATACCAGACAATAAACCTGTCCTATGCTCCTGAAGGAGGTATTACCTCTACTTTGCAATTCTTTACTGTATAAATGTCTTTGATGAACTAATCTGGAATAAAGGCAGTTAGTGTCACTGCTTGCAAGATATGAAGAAATTTAAGAGATCAATGGAAAACTGTCTCCCTCTAAGACAGAATCCAGAAACTGTAGGTGTTAACCTCTACCGAAGAAACCTGTAATGCACACAAGACACCAAGGTAACCAAGGTGGCCCAAACATGTCTTACATGCCTTCTATCCTTGTTCCTCAATATCCCACCATAAGCAACTACTGGAAATAGTATCCTCCCAGGAACATTCTATGCAGTGTTTGTTCCCACACTCAAGACTGGAAACCCTGGTAATTCACTGTGTATGGTTGGCAGAAAAGCCTTGCTTCATGTGTGCTATGGTTTACATGTCTTTAAAGGGCCATGTATTGGAGGCTTGGTCCCTAGCAGCCTTTAGGAGGTGAGGCCTTGAGGAAGAAACTTACATCACTGGGAGCATGACCTGGAAGGGGATATTGGGGCCCCATTCCCCTTAGTGCTTTCCAACTACTGTACACACAATGAGGTGAACAGGGCTGATTCACCAAACGCTCCTGCCATGATTGACTGTGCCACCACAGGGCCATCCAACCATGGACTGAAACCTGAAACCACAAGACAAAATGAAGCTTTCCTCCTAGAAGTTAATAACCTCAGGTTTTTGCCACAGTGATGAAAAGGTAACACATCTCAGCAGTGGGAACTGATTACGCTCAGACTAAATATTGCTCAGATCCCACCTGCTTTTTAAATTTTCCTTAGCATTTCCTAATAAAAGCTTCACTAGAGTCATGGGGTAGGGATTTTTGTTTATTGGTGTACACCTAGAGTTAACAATTTTGCCAGATCCACAGCAGATGCTCAAAATATTTACTTAAAAAATAAATTATGGGTGAATGTAAGAATGTGAAAGCATACAGTTGTACCTCTGGTATGAGTACTTGGATGGATGAATAAGGTTACAGAGGAAACACTGGAAGATGGTATTAGACGCCTGTGAGACTCAAGTGGAAATGTTCATTCAGAAAATACTATTAGTTTAGTACCTAACACATGGTCTGGTCTAGGTTACTTATGAGAAAACAAGAAGACACAAAGAGTTTTACAAAGGAGCTTACATTCTGGAAGGTGAGGCAATAATAATAACAAACGAATTACATAAAAGATTGGAAGATGACCTTTGAGGGAAAAAATAGGCAATGTGAATTAGTAAGAGGAAGCTAGGTGAGGTGCTGCATGCTTAATCCCAGCACTCTGGGAGAAGCAACTGTGTAACTTAGTGAGACCCTGTCTTAAAAATGGCTAGGAGTGACACACATACACAGAAATGTGAGTTGCAACTCTCAGTGAATGAGAAGTTGATTCACTGAAAAGCTGACCTGGATCTGATGTTCAGAGAAGAAGTTCATCTGTTTAAATGGTGGTAATATCTGCCTGAAAGCTTTTAGAATTGAGGTAGGTACAAAATCTGGCAAATAAGTAATTGCTAAATTAAAAAATTTTAAGACAAGGTCTCATTATGTAGCTTAGGCTGATCTCAAAATGGCAGTGGAGCCCAGGCTGACTTTGAGCTCCCAATCCTCCTGCCTCAGCCTCCCAAATGCTGGGATTAGAGGCATGCACCACCAAGCCACTTCCCTATACCCTACACATCTGGGAGGCTTCAATCAGCCTGAAACACACAAGTTTAAAGACAAGCAGAATAGGGTGTGTTTGTGTGTGTCCCTTCTTTGTTGCTTTGTAGTTACTAATGCTAACTTCTAAGTCACTCTTCATAAGTAGTTTAAAAATGTTGAGAAAAGAAATGACTTCTTTTTATACAAAATTCTATAATAAACAATAGGTAGAAGATCTTATTGGGTCAATACAAAAATGTATATAGATAGGAGGCATTAAAGGTGGTTATGTTTTACATGAAGTGGTACAATGTTAACTTTAAGTAGCTAGGTGTGGTGGCACACACCTGTAATCTAAGCACTTGGGAGGCCGAGACAGGAGGATGGCCCTGAATTCCAGGCCAGCCTGAACTACATAGTGAGACCTTGTCTTACCAAAAGTAAGTAAGTAAATAAAATAACCCTAAGTAGATTGTGAAAGTTAAAGATATTTATTATAATCTTAATCACTAAATATAAATGGGAAGAGGTATAGCTAAATACCAGTAGGTTAAATTAAAATTTGAAACAATATTCAATTAACCTAAAATAATTCGGGAAAGGTGGTAGAATTAACAGAAAGGAAAACTCAAAAGCATTTCAGACTGAAAGATAATGAAAGTACAACATATCAAAAATGTATAGAACAGGGCCAGGGATTTAACTCTGGTGCCTGCGCCTGCCTGGAAAGTGCAAGGTCCTGAGTTTGATCCCTGGTACCAAAAAAAAAAAAAAAAAAAGTATAGAACATGGAACAGGATTTCATTTTTCTTTTTGGTACTGGGAATCAAACTCAGGGCCTTGAGCTTCCCAGGCAGGCAATGCACCACTGAGCTACATCCCCAGCCGAAGACAGGATTTATTAAACAAGATATAATCTGTGCAAGCCAGAGAAGATTCATAAACTTTACTACATTAAATTTAAGCCACTACAAAGTAAAAGTATAAGACACCGACTGGGAGAAGATATTTATATTATAATGCCTATTACCACAACACAATTACAGTGGATACTTGACTTACAAACTCAATTTGTTCCCAAGGGCTGGTTGTAACTCAAGTTGGTCAGTTGAAGGCTCAGGCTCCTCTGCACAGCCTTCAAAGTCTCTCTCCTGTACAGGCAGATCTCAGTGTCCTTAGAGAGACATTGGCCTAGGATTTCTCAATTAATCTCACACAGGAAAGCAGGTTATAATGTTCCTTCCAGAACTCTTTAAGGGTTAAATCTGTATTTGAGACCATCTGAAAGCATAAACGGCTGGCATTTGGGTCAGAACTCAAGACTCTCATCCTAAGATAAAACTGAAATTCTGGTTGTAACTCAAGGGTCCACTGTACTTTCCAAAATAGATTCTAACAAATCAGTAACAACCAGACAACAACCAGGCGATGTGGCACATACACATACCTGTAATCCCTGCACTAAAAAGGTAGAGGCAGGAGGATTGCCATGAGTTCAAGACCAGCCTGTACTACATAGCGAGACCCTGTCTCCAAAAAAATCCCCCCCCCAAAAAATAACAAAAAATCCAAATTTTTAAAAGGGCTGAAGAAGCCAGGTGCAATGGCACATGCCTGTAATACCAGCACTCAGAAGTCTGAGGCAGGCAGATTGTGAGTTTGAGACCAGCCTGGGTTACATAAAGAGTTCAAAGCCAGCCTGAACTACATAGGGAAATCTTGTTTCAAAAAACAAAAATAAAACACACAAAAAAGGCTAAAAATATAACAGTTCTTTAAAAAAAAGAATCTAGTGCTGGGCGTGGTGGCACATGCCTGTAATCCCAGCACTCCGGAGACCGAGGCAGGAGGATCACTGTGAGTTGGAGGCCAGCTTGGGCTACATAGTGAGTTCAAGCCCAGCCTGAACTATGTAAAAAGACCCTGTCTCAAAAAAACAAAAAACAAAAGAAGAATCAGCGATCCACTTGGACCAAGCAGGATGGGGTCAGGAAGTTGGTCTTAAGACTGAGGTGGAGCTCTGTCCCGTGTCTTGGTCCAGGGGAAGATGGGATTCAGAGGAGGCTGCCCATGGTCACGTTGGCAATGGCGGTGGGTAAGGGGGGAGCTACTGGGTTGCTCTTCCAGGTGCCTGGAGCCAGAATTGCCAGGAGTGAAGGAGGATGTCCGGCCCCGCACACCCTGCTGTGGTTTCCTTGGTGACAATAAACAAACCTTGAATGCCAGCACTTCAAATCACCCAGAGACTCCAGAGACCTCTGGGTGAGGCGGGCACTTGGAGACTTGAAGACTCCCAGGGTCTTGCTAAGTTGCCCCGACTGGTCTTGAACTTGTGATCCTCCTGCTTCAGCCTCTCAGCATGCTCGAATCACAGAATGGCTTCATCATCAAAAGAAAACAACTCAAAAAAAGAAAAATGGAAGAAGGAAGAGTCTTCAATGGAAAATGGATGAGTGCTTTTTTTGTTGAGAGAAATAAGGCACCCTGCTTAATTTTGTAAAATCATTTTGTCTCACCAGACTATAGCCAGACAATTGATTTAAGAGTGAAGCTGCTAGGGCCGGGGATTTAGCTCAGTGGTTTTGCCGCCTGCTGAGCAAGCGCAAGGACCAGAGTTCGATCCCCGGTACCAAAAAAAAAAAAAAAAGTGAAGCTGCTAATTTCAAACTTTATTCTTTGGCAATAGATGAAAGTGCTGATGTGACAGATATGGTTCAACCTGCTGTTTTTAATCAGCAGTATTATAGATTATGGATATAGTATCACTGAAGAAATGGCTTCTTTGATGCCATTAAAATACAGCTAGGGCTGGGGACTTAGCTCAGTGGTTTCGCCGCCTGCTGCGCAAGCGCAAGGGCTGGAGTTCAATCCCCGGTACCAAAAAAGGAAAAAAAAAAAGATGCTATAGGAGGTAGGTGTGGTGGTGCATGCCTATAATGCCAGTACACAGGAGGCTGAGGCAGGAAAATCACCATGAGTTGAAATAGTGAGTTAAGCTGGGGAGTTAGCTCAATGGTGCCTCACCTGCCTTGCACGCGCAAGGTCCTAAGTTTGATCCCCAGTACCAGAACAACAACAAAAAGATGTTATGCAAATCATCATCAAAGCTGTGAATTTCATGAGGTCTTAGGGATCGAATCATCACCAATTCCATGAGTTCCTTAAGAGTAAGGATGCTGATTATGGGGACATCATTTACTTTTCTGAAGTGAGGTGGCCAAGTTGGAGTAAAATGCTTTAAAGATTTTGTGAATTGTGAAATGATACTGTCATTTATGGAAATCAAGGAATTTGAAGATGAAAAATTCCTCACCAGTTTTGCTTTTTGTTTGCTTTAGTACCTGGGATTGAACTCAAGACCTTGCACTTGCAAGGCAGGCGCAGTGCCACTGAGCCAAATCCCCAGCCATTTTTTTTTTTGACTAATTTAAATGGGATAAATGTGTCATCAAGGTGAAAGTCCCTGTATTTGTGCTATATTTCAATACAGTGTACAATACTGTGTACAATATTGTGTACAATACCATGTATAATACAGTGTACAAAATGGAGGGGGAATGGGGAAAAAGGGCGGGATGTACCATGTTCAGGTGCAAATTCCCAATGATGAGTGTTATCATTATGTATGCCTAAAATGCACCAATAAAGGTTTTGCTATAAGGAGAAAGACTGAGGTGGTGGGGAAGAGGACCTACCCCTTAAACAAGACTCCCCACACCCCAAACTATAAACAAAGATCAGTATTTTAAACCACATTTAAGTTTAGAATTTGTTCAACAGCAGACACTAACCAAAAAGCGAATTACTGCTCCAGGGATGGTCTAGAAACATACAAAAGATACCCAACTTCGTTTGGAAAGTGCAAATTGAAGGTACAGGAGAGACCATTTCATACTACTGAGGTCACCCTAAGTTTACTGGTAGGGATATGTCCAAGAACCATTTCTCATCTGGAAAATAAGCCTATGTCCATACAAAGCCTGCTACACAAATGCACTCAGCAGTCTCTAGTAACCACAAACTAAAACCAACCCACATACCTAGCAAAAATGAACAAACTGTAATGGACCTGTACAGTGGAACTCCACTTGGCAATAAAAGATAAAAGTACATATAACACAGATGATTTGTAACAGCTATGCTGAGGGAAAGATGCTGAACAAGCACACAGATGACATGATTCCATTTATGGACTATACAGAAAACATGACTCTATGACACTAAATCTGATTACCTGGAAGGTAGCGGGCAGGAAGGAGAGATTACCAAAAAGTAGGGTCATGGACATGCACATTATATTGTGTTTATGGTTTTACATGGTAAGCATATGTCAAATGGCACATAATAAATATATGCAGTTTATTTAAGTCAACTAGAGCTCAATGAAGCTTTTTAAAATAGTTGAAAAACCAAAACATCATTTAGGGAAAAATAATATAGAAATTGTAAGAGCAAGTAAAACAATGATAGATGAAACTTAAAATCACAATTAACTGGAGGGAAGGGAAGGGAAAGTGGTGTCAGTGGGAGAGAACATGGAGCTGGTCCCAGCCTGGTACTGGGAAAACACCACATCTGAAACTGGGCCCTTGCTGGGTGTCTGCCATTTAACTGTATGTATGCATTATACAAACTTTTTCACATATAATACATCTCACAGTTGAGGAAAAAAGGGTCTGTGGATAGGAACAAAAGGAATGAACCATTACCTACACTATTTGAGGCAAGGCTCCCTTAAAAGCTTTCAAACAAAACACTTGACAAATCAGATGAAACCCTTTCATCTCTTATGTATGCTGCCAGTTTGGAAATAGCAAACTTTTCATCTGTTTGAGACAGATGGATTACCAATATCAAACAGAGTAAAAGACCAAACAAAGAAGCTATTATTGGAGACTTCTGGGAATGTAGCAGAGTGGTGAACAGCAAACACCCTGTCTGAGATTTGGTGTCTAGATACTGGAATATAGCAATGAAAGGAAGACTAGAAGTAGGGAAATGGGTACCTGGGATCCAGCAAGGATCTGAAGTGGGAATGGAAGCCCACAGGGAGAGCAAAGAGATTTCAATGGAGGAGGTGGCAAGCAGCTCTTTCTGAGCCCTGACTCACTGCATTGGAAAGGTGGCCCAAACCTACAGGTACATGGTTGACTACTGGTGATCCCAGAGGCCTCCATGGAAACGTACCAGCGGAATGAAGCAATGGATGCCACAGACTGCAGTGGCTGGAGTTATTTGAGTTTAGATTTACCCTAGGAGAGGGCAACTGGCTGGTAGCCATCTTGGAGAGTGGCCAACTGAGCTTGGAACTCAGAGCAGCTGTGGGCTGGCTCCATCTAGTGGGTCCCAGCATCAGGGTGAGGTAGAACCAAGTTCAAGTTGGCAGGAGGTCAAGGAGCCCAGTTCAACTAGGCAGGAGGCAAAGAACAAATCAGGCTTGAGCCTCACAATCAGAAAACAGCCTGAACTTTGGTGGTACTAAAGGTGCAGGCTTGCTAGGATTATCTACTACCCTGCTGTAAATCTACAGCTGGCTTGCTGGGATTAATCAACATGGATCTCAGCTCTGTCTGCCCAATTTGCCTACCACTGACAGTAGAGACACACCTTGAAGTGAACATTTTTTTCTTTTCTTGATTATGTTCTTGTTTTTATATGTGTGAACACTGTTTCTAATGTTTGTTGTTGTTGTTCTGCTCATTTATATTTCTTCCTTCTCTCTTTGCCTCCTGTCTTCTTCACCAGTTTCCCAAAGTTTGCCAAGTCTTCTGTTCTCCAGCCTTGCTTCTAATCTCTTCCTCTTCTATTTCTCTATATTTCCCCCCTAACCCCTTTTAAAATTTCTCCTCTGAGGGTAAAATCATCATACTGAGGGCATATTTACTGTATACAATTTTCTGGTTTATTTTAGATTTTGTTATATAATCACGAATATAGTTCATATGGTTAAAGGTAGCAAATCAATAGTTATCCCAGTTTGTCATTTTCTAAGTTGTGTTTGATGCTGATTGTACTACTTTAGCCAAGGTAACATAATTGTTCTAATCAGTTGTTCTCTCCGATGCACCAAGACTGAGATTGCCTAAGGGTCAAAAACAATATAATAGGTCAGTCCCAAAGAACCAGGGGCTAAGCCAAATAGGCAGCAACTACTCATCCCCAATAAACTGAAGGAGTAGGATCTTGCAACAGACTCAAAAGCCAGCTACACCTGGAAGACATCTCTAAGAAGTAGTCATTTCCTAAGAGTTCTAAATACCAGCAATAAAGCTACTTGTCATAAGCAATTTACAAGCATCAACCAAGGAATTAAACTTAAAAAAAAAAAAAGAAAAAGAAAATGAGAAGACACTTAAGCAAGATGCAACATGACTGCCACCTCACCAAAGGCAAACCCAGGGGGCAATGAGGTGGAAATATTTGAAAGACACCCACCTGCATTCTCTGACGTGGTAACAGCATAAGTAACAAAGCAGATGGATGGGGCTCTAGAAAAAAATCAAATCAGAAATAATTTCTCAGATAACTACAGCGATGGTGACCATAATGAAAGACTTGGTTAGTGACTCTAGAGCAGATACAGATTGAGAAAAAAAACGGAGTTTAGGAAAATGATGAAAACCATGATTGCCCAACATAGGAACCCATGAAACAGATTCAAATAGAAAAGCTATTATTTAACCAGGCTTGGTGGTGCATACTAGTAATCTAGCATTCTGGGAGGCTGAGAGGAGGATCCCCAGGTCAAGCCCAACCCATACAACTTAGTGAGACCTTGCCTCAAAATTGTAAAAAAATTCAGTTAAAAGAAATGGGTGGGGATGTAGCTCAGTCTGTAGGTCCTGGGTTCAATCCCCAGTACTGTAAAGAGAGAAAAGGAATGAAGGGAAAGGAGACAGGGAGGGATGGAGAGAAAAGAAAAGAAAGCTATTGTTAACTACCCCAAACACTATGCTAGCTCACAACCACCTTGAGGTAGACGTGAAATATCAATGAGCATTTAGGCAGCACCTACCTACCAGTTAGAACAGAACCATCTCCCTTACACTTTTTCTTCCCAGATTTTAAGCTTCAACAGCTTTATTTTTTTCATTCCATGTTTATTTGGTAACTGTCTTTATCAAAATAAAAGCTAAGGCAAGTACATTGCTGATCCTGCCATCTTGTTCCACCTGACAACACACAAATCTTGCTTGCTGTACCGAGTCTCGCCATCTCAGTGTGAGCTCTGCAGAGCCAGCAGGGACTTCAGGGTTCCCACCCAATTTAAAAGCAAACAATTTTGAGATTTCAATTGGAAAATAAAAGAGCTGTACACCGCACTTGGGTCCTTACCCGGCTATTTTGGATGAGCTGCCCATCTTGCCTGCAACTTCGAGTTAATTTTTTTGCCACTTCAAGTTTTAATCGAGATATTCCAGGAATGTGGTGCCTTTCCACTGCAGACTCCAAGAACCCAGCTTAATTTTTGTTTCATCCATGTTAATTTTTCGCTATTTCCATCGACACTGACGACCGACTCCTCAATAGGTCTGAATAACCACCTCGCATAAACCTCTTAACCCCAGTGCACTGAAAATCTGCATCATCTGTCCCAGCGGTCACTGATGCACGAAAGAGAATATTATCACAAGCAGTGAAAGGTTTAAATTTCCTAAGGATTGAGAAGCACCGCCCCACTCTGCGTCTGGGGATGAACACGGCCGCCACTCAACTGTGGAAAAGGCCACGCCCCCGCCGGCGCAACAGCCGCTTTTTCATCAGCCCGCCGCCTTCCCGCCTTCCCCCAGGACGCTCACTTCCGGCCGCGAGGGAGCTCGGGAGCGCTCCCGCGAGGCTCCACCAACCAGCGACGGGGCCGGACGGCGAGGGCGCGCGCGCACAGACTCGTGTGGGGTTCGAATCTCAGCCGCTTCCCGGCTACCGCCTAACGTCTAGGCCGCGTCTCCGCGGCGGCGGCGGCGGCGGGGGCAGCGAAGGCTAAAGCAGCGCGTGCGGGTCGCGTTTGGCCGGGTTGCCCCGCGCCCCCACCATCTCCACCTTCCAGACGCTGCCAGGTGCGGCCTGGCTCTGCCTCGCCCTCCATCGCGCTCGGCGCTCCGCCCTCCGCCCCGTGCCCCACAACCTGGCGCTCGGCCCTCCGCGCCGCGCCATGGCCAAGCGGCGTGCGGCCGAGCCGCTAACGTTCCACGTGCCTTGGAAACGGCTCCCGTTCCACAGCTTCCCGGAGGCGCCGTTGCTCTGGACCCCTCCGTCCGGGGCTTCGCTGCCGGCGCTGTCCCGAAAGCGCAAATTCGACGCGGGGGCCATGGCGGAGTCCTCGGCCTCGCCGAGCAAGCGTCGCGGCGGTGCGGATGGCAGCGCCCAGAGCGGTGCGGAGCTGGAGGGCCGCGCCCTGGACTCGGGCGAGCCGCCCGGCGAGAACCGAACACTGGGGGAGGAGCCGCGGGACGCCCGGCCCCGGAGGGGCGGTGGCGACGGCGGGGCGGGGCGCGCTGGGCCCCGGCGGGGAGAGTGCGGAGCTGCGCAGCGCCAGGTAGGGCCGGGCGGGGGACCGGGGGCGGGATGGGGGCGGGATGGGGGCGGGCCCATCTCCAGCCCGCACTCTGAGGACCCAGAGCCCACCTTGCTAGTGTTCGCAGCACTTGGTAGAGTAGGGGGCAACTACGTCGGGGGAGGTGGAAACGGGCTTGAAGCTTCTGCGGCTTGTAAGAGAGAAGCCGAAGCGTCCCTCTTCCTCGAAGGAGTGGAGAACTTGGTGAAGAGGAGGTGTAGCTCGCCTTCTTTGGTTTGACGAGATCCCTTAAGTTTTTGACCAAAGTAGTAGCAGAAGATAGGCGTGGTGCATGGGCAGAGAGATAGGACCTGTGTGTCTTTGGATACTCTCTTTTGAACTCACAGTGTTAAATCCCATCTTATGAAAACTCATTGTTCTTGAAAATAAGTTAGGCCTTGAGGTAAACTGGTGTAAGAATACCGGGGGGGGGGGGCTTACTCTTTATCTCCGCACCTAACGATCCTGAGAAAATCTATTTGTCTCAATTCAGCAGGGTACCCATAAAACTAGACGGTGGCGTGCACTGGGAAGGCTGAGGCATGAAGATTGCCAGGAGTTCGAGGCCAGCCTAGGCCACACAATGAGTTCAAGGCCAGCCTGGACTACATAGCAAGACCCTGTCTCAAAAGAGAAAACAAATTTTAAAAGTGTGAAATAATTTGCATATTATCAGTAAAATATATTAACTTTTATTAACTGATAAAAGCTGCTTTTTTTTGGTACCAGGGATCAAATTCGGGACCTTAACGCTTGCGAGGCAGGCAGCAGAACCACTGAGCTAAATCCCACTGCTTGCTTTTACTGGAAGCAGCCGTGCCTTACAGCAGTGACTAGATCTGCTACTACAGCACTACCGCTAGTTGATGCAAGCACATGTCAGGGAAAAAGAGAAGCTTCATTCTAGGTGTTCCTTCTTCAAGACTACTAGAAACATTCAAGTTCCTCCTTTTTGTTAGGTCTGTTTCTCAAATCTCTCGTCTTCTGTAAAACTAAGGGCTATTCTCTCTACAGCCTCCGTTTTTCCTTCCTGCCTCCAAAGACAGGATTTTTGTTTTAAGGGTTTATAGCTAATTACCAAGGGAAAACAAGATATAACAAAAGCAAGGAGGTATAAAAGCCTGATTTCTCCTTAACCTAGAACGTTGCAGACCATTCAGGAAATACTACTGCAGATGATTTTCTTCTCCATCAATGTGCAACCTAGGCAGAGTAGTGGTAGTTTTCTGTCCCACAACCTCAGGATAGGCCTTGTTAGCATCATTTTATGAGAGTCCATTGCTCTGCCAGTGTTAACTCTTACTGTTAGTTATTTTTAACAGAAAGCAAGCAGAAATGTTTTACTAAGAAAAAAAGTAATGATTCATACTCAATTTGGAGATCTAATACCTAGCAGTATTGCACGGTTACTATTCTAACCCTTAATTCTCACAGTGGTTGCACTCCATGTTACCAGTGAGATCAAGAGCAGTTGATGGGTGGTGAAGTTATCATGCAAACCCCGGCCTGTCTGGTACAAAGTGTGTGCTTTTAGCCATTAACAAATTCTGCTAACATCATGAAAGAACCTTTCTTGGTCTCTGTGTAAGTTGATAATTTTAACTGTAATGGAGAACTAGAACACTGTTTTAATCATTTGCATATTAAAGTGAAATTTTTATGTTTACTTCATCTTATATCCAGTTGTAAGAATTTCCCCAGACTCTTGATTGATTACAGTTTACTGTGTTAAGACACTGAATGAACTTCCTAATGAGATGTTTACAGCCCTGTGTTCCAGTACAGTAATGAGTAAAATGTTGCTAGTGCGAATACTGCTGGAAATGTAAAATACATGCCAGATTTTGAGAACCTAATATGACAAAGGATGGTATAATATTTTTAAAATGTTGACCACGTGTTGAAATAATATTTTGGACCTGTTGGGTCAAATAAGATATTAAGGTTAATTTCACCTGTTTCTTTTTACTATTTTTACTGTGGTTATCAGAAAAATTTAAATTATATATGTGGCTCCTATTATAGTTCTGTTAGAGCTGCTATAGCAAATATTAAAGTAAAGGGCTGAGGACTTAGCTCAGTGGCACCACACCTGCCTCAAAAGCTCAAGGTCCTGAGTTCGATCCCTGGTACCAAAAAAAATATTAAAGTAAAAACACAGTATAGTAGAATACGTATGGATATTGGTCTAAGAAGGGTCTTGATTTCGTAGTCCTGTGTGTAACTTCAGTGCTGGTATTTTGCACAAGATATTTTGGAAATGCTTGAAATTCTGTGCCAATTTTTTTCTTTTTAAACTTTTTATGTTTTTATAAGCACATGTTTGCTGTCCATCGTGATACATTCCTTGTGGGAAGTTGGTTCATGTACAGAACGCATCTCCATTATTTTTTCATCCCCCTCACTCCCTTCCATCCCTTCCATCTCTCAGTCCCCTTGCCTTTTGTAAACAATCCATCTTCCTAAGTGGGCCAATTTTTTCCCATCACCCATCTTAGTTTGTATTTTATTTATATATTACTTCTCAGAAACCATGGGATATTTAAGCTTGTGCGTCTAATTTATTTAACGTTATGTTCTCAAGGTACGTTGATTTTCCTACAAATGACTCAAGTTTATCCTCCTTTATGGTAGTGTGCTGGGTTCTCAACATCATTACTTGAAATAATTTTGTAGTCATTCAGAGTAAGCTGTTGACTTTTTAAGGGCCTAGCACTTACATTGGTAAGTTTTGATATATTAAGTTAGTACCGAGGTCTACCTTTAATCAGGTCATCAATTTAGTATTTTTTTGCTCTTTATCATGTTTATATCCTAACACTTTATAGTAAGATTTGTCAAAATATTTTGGCCTGTGTAAAGTCAATGTCTTAAAATATCAAACCTCAGAAAAAAGACCAAAAATAACTTATAAAGGAAAGTGTATGTATATGCATGTAATTTTTTTATGCATGTAATTTTAAAAGTAGATTCTTACTTTCCTTATTAAAAGAGAAAAAAAATTAAGATTGTTTGTAAACATTTTCTTTGGGTGAAAAACTAGAAAATTTTGGAAATAGATGCTATTGGAGGAAATTCTTTTAAATTTATACTTTTAGCAAATACTTTTTAAAATGCACACATATTAAAATACACATATTTAGTTCATGAAGTATTTTGATTTTGTAGGGAACGGGGAAAGGGGACATTACTAGAACCTCTGTATAAAGTCCTAGTCTCCTGTGAGCCAGGACAGCATAAGGTGAATTAATTTATTAGACAGAAAAGATAGAAAAATCAGACTTAGAGGAGAAGCTGAGCTTTGGGCCTGACCAAGGCTGCTCTGAGCAGCAAAGACCCCAGACCCCACCCCCCAGCTTGCCACAACTTTATTGAGTGTATCGGAAGTAACAAATGTAACAGATGACTCAGAGGACAATGAGTTCAGTACATTGGGAATCACAAATATAAAAGGTGAGTCAGAGGGCAGTGGCACCGTGATAATCCTAGAACAGTGAGGAACTATGCAGATGAAGATTTTGTTGTCTCAACATGCCATAGCTGGCCTGTAGGCAAGAAAACTAGGCCTAATCACAGTTTTAATTGTGAGATGATTTTTTCCCCAAAATTATGTAGAATTGCTCTGACATATTTCCCTTTTTGTTTTATGTAAGTGTGTTTTTAGGGAAAAGTGAGCACACCAACAATGGCTTGTCCCTATGTATTGTGAGGACCTATAGTGTGTTTAACTGGCTTAGTTGTCTATACATGTCATGAGCAATTCTACATAATTTTGAGGAAAAATCATTTCACAATTAAAACTATGTAGAATTGCTCCTGACATGATTTGACAAATATATATTTGTTGAAAATACAAAATAAAAGACTGCTCAGTCTACTTAAGTTTGCTTTTGAAGCAAGGAAATTTGTTTCCTGAAGGAAAAAAACTCTATCCCATTGATGTATTTTCCTCTCTTCCTTCCTAAAGCACAATGAGGAATTTTGGCAATATAATACCTTCCAGTACTGGAGGAACCCTCTGCCCCCGATTGATCTGGCCGACATTGAAGACATCAGTGAGGACTGCCTGCTAGAGCCAACACTTCAGGACAAGAGTGGTGAAGGAACTGAGGTGGACATGGAGTCCTGATGGAAGGAGCTGAAGAAGCAGGACTCAGTGAATTTGAGGTGTGGCTAAGTGGATTTACATGTTTTTAAGGAAGAATTTGTTTTCCAGACTTGACTTGTTATCATTCCAAACCTGAAAAGTGAGGGAAGGTCATTTTGAAGATAAATCTATAGTACTACTGAACCTTCCTGTAGGGATTTGTCAGTGATACAATACAGTTAGAGGCAAAGTATTTTATGTATGCATTTTTAAAGAAAACAGTTTTGTTGGGCCGGTGACTTAGCTCAGTGGTTCCACTGCTCAGTGGTTCCACCACCTGCCTTGAAAGTGCAAGGTCCCAAGTTCGATCCCTGGTACCAAAAAAAAAAAAAAGTTTAGGTTCTAACTTTGAAGAAACTGATCTTATGAAAAGGAATTGTGGCAGTTGTAGAATAGGTGAAAAACACTCAAGATCTCCTTTCTGCACCAAAAAGTTTATTTGTGGTACATTAAGTGAATATCATTTTATAATCATTGATAAATAAAATACTTTGTAATACATCTTATTGACTCTTTAGTTGAACAAATAGCTAACTTGAACATCTATGCAAACCAAAAGTGTGGAGGATTTTCTCTGAAAGCTAGTATTGTTTCATAAGAGCTTTGTAAATGAAAAGTAGAATATCAGTTTGAGTAGCATGTTTGAATAACTTACAGTACTTAATGTTTGTTAAACTCTACTATGGGCAATCTAAACTGGATAAAGATCAGAGAATTTTGTCTGTTTTCCCTTCCCCCTTTCCAAGATAAGAGGGAAGAAATGTTATATAACCAGTTTTTTTGGTTTTGAATTACTTTGAGGGTATGGCTTTTATTGCTTATTACTTTAGACCTATAGTTCTCTCTCGAGAGTGACTGCACTTTAGTATCTACCTGGGCCCGATTCTAGAGAGATGCTCAATTATTCTGAGGTGGGCCCTAGATATGCCTCTTGTTTTAGGCACCATTCATTTTCCTCTATTCCTTTATCGTGCAGACAGGGTTGAGAACCACTGGACTAATGGTAGTTTTTCCTGTTTAAAGGATCTCCTTTAAACTAACACAAGCAGAAGCAATGCCTGTTAATTAGCTTTGTTTTTATTTTGCTCCTTTGATGGCTTTGTTACAACTAAGTTATTTTGTTGCTGTTACTATTTCATTGTTTAAAAAAATAAAAGTAGGCAGTTTATTTGAGTTACATCCAATATCATGACTATGTTAATTAACTTTTGTACTGTACCCAGGTTGTTGGCTTTCTATTTGAGTAACTTGTCCATACTTGTGTATTCGTTGTTAATAACATTAAATCCAAAATTCTGAAAAGATGGTAAATGCCAATGAGAAAAAAAAAAACCAACTTTTTTGTATGTACTACAAGATTTAAGTGTGGGTTAATAATAAGAGAACTGAAGGCAGATATTGTAGACATGGTTCAAAGTCATATACTGCCACTTCCTACCTATGTGACATTGAACAAGTTATTTTCATCTCTAAGCCTCAGATTTCTTACCTGTAAAATGAGAAATAAATAGTATCTACCTCAGAGAGACTATGTTTCTTATCAAGTAGTGTTTGAAGTACACATATCGTCTTACTTGATTCTCAAGTAATCTTATCACAAGAGAGGTTCAAAAACAGTGCCTGGCATATAGTAGATAGTTGGTACACATTAGCAAATGGTCTTCCTCTCTGTTGGTGGGAAAGTAATGCCAGTAATCTTTTATGTACATATCTTACACAGCTAGGTCCTTTGCCCAAAGATATGTATACAAAAGGTATGTTGCCACGAGATAGGAAAGTATTAGAGATTATCTAAATCCTGGATGAAGGCAGGACACCTCCCTAGTATGGAATTCTGTGCAACATCTGAAATCAAAGGTAAGTCTGTATGTACTGACTGAGAAGAGCCTAAGAGATAGATACCAGATGTAAGAGAAATTTCGAGTAATCCATAATGTGAATTCATTAAAGCTATACACAAATATGTAAGTTAATTTGAAGGAACAGAAGAAGACATACCAGCCTCTACACTGATTTCACTTCAATAAAAATGTTAACTTTAAAAAAAGAAGAGACCAAGCTATGGCTGGTACTTACCTGTAGAAAAGGAATTGAGATTTCTGAGGCTAGGATAGGAGATGAAGATGCTTTTTGTCTGTCTCCACCCTTGTGTGCCATTTTAACAGTTTTAATGTCAGCCCATCTAGGTATCATACACTTCACCTGTTTAAAGTGTTCCATCCAGTGGTTCTTTGTTTACAAAACTGTGTAACCATCACAATTTTGAGCATTTTTATTATATGAAAAAACCAATAACCATTAGTAGCCATTTCCCACGGCCCTCAGCCATGGTTCCTAGCCACAGACAATCAAAGCTACTTTTTTGTCTCTATTTGACTATTCCGGATATATTTTTAAATGTCTAATTATATATCCTTTGACCAACATTGCTCCATCCTTTTCTCCCCACCATTGTACTCATAAGAGATCAACATTTTTCAATTCCACAAGGAAGATGGTATGATATTTGCCTTTCTGTGCCTGGCTTACTTCCCTAATGTGATGTTTTTCACTTTCATCCATGTCCCAAATGGTACGATTTTGTTTTCATTCTTTTCTATTGCTGAATTGAATTCCATTGCATATATGTGTCACACTTTCATCTGTTGCTGGACACAAGGATTGATTCCATATCTTAGCTGTTGTAAATAAATGGTTTTATTTTTTTAATTTTTTTTTGAATAATAAGCATTCCTTTATTTGCTGCCATTACAAAAACTGATTACATTAGCAACAAAAGTGTCTTGAGTTGATGTCAGAGGCAGTTACTCCCCCAAAGTGTTAAGTAAAATAGTGTACAACATCAGTATTAAAATGTTAAATTTTACATTGTCTTTATCACTTTGATCTTCTGAACAATTGAATTGAACAAGGTAAAATATTACACGTTTATCTTCAGGAATGTAAAGGTCTAATTCAAACAGTTTATTATAAAACAGTTCTGAAGGTGTCTACAGAGTTGGTTTCTTTTTGAATTTTTCTCTTTAAATCAGTAGTCTAACAAGGATTAGAAAAGACAAAACTCTGTTCAGTGTTTCTGACAAAGTAGAGAGGGTGAAAACATAAATAAGGCTTTAATTTGGCAAAATATAATACAATGCCTTCTGCTGTTCTCAACTGAAGTTTCCCAATTACTTCGTTCCAAACCTGGTGGTGTTATTTCTCCTTTGAGAGCTGTTTGTTTACAGCCTGAAGCAACTGCTGTAACTGTGCTATAGTCTGATTTAGACTTACAGACATCGTCTCCTTTTCAGAAGGCTCCATTTCTGGGGAAACATCACTATTCTCTATAACAGTAGTACCTCCAGCAGCTTGTACTATTTTTGACTGGATAAGATCCAGTGACTGTTGCGCCTTATCCAAATCACCAGCTACCTCTGTCTTTCACTTTGTTCAGTTTTAAGTTTTGTGAGTGTTTCATTTAACTGTGTCTTCAATTCTCTCACTTCTGTAACATAAGTAGATCATTCAGTTTCTGCCTTCTCTAGTTCCATTTCCAAATGCTCTTGCTCTCTTCTCAGATTTTCAATATCTTTATTTTTTCTTCTTAATTGCTCTAACTCTTACTCTGAAGACGTAATTGATGACAGCATCTGCTTAATTGTCTTTTGTAATTCATCCACCTTAACTTTCCATTTATTTTCCTCTTCCTCTACACTTTTCTGTAGCTTCTGTAAAATTCCTTCTGTTTCTGCAAGGACTTATTTATATGTATCACACTCCAGCTGTAATAGTGTGTGTGTTTCATCAGCTTCTTTCAACTTATACTCTAAAACCTTAACTTCTTCTGAACCTGAAGTTCCAACTATACACTTTTTTGTTTTCTTTTCAAATCCATGCAACCATTCACTGTAACTCAAATTAGAAGGGACAGACACCTTTGGAAATAATTTTTTAAGAACTTCTTTAGCCTCCAATTCAACAGCTTCCACATACTGTCTTTCATTGTTTTTCTTCCTCTGATCAACAGCATCCTTCAAAGAATCTAATTCATTCTGGAGACCAGTTATTTCTTTCTCTTTCTGAAATTACTTTTAATAATTCTTCATGAGAAGGAAAAGATGCCTCTTGGTAATTCTGTTGCTTAAACTGCTCAATCTGGGATTTAAATAATTTGTTTTCATCTTGCACCTCCTGTAACAGCTTTGCTTTGCTAGAAATATCACTCTCCCTCTCTTTTAGCATAGCTTCTACTATCTTCATTTCATTTTCCTTTTCTTTCATCACAATTTCAAGTTCTTCAAATTGTGATGCAGAATGTGCCTCTTGTAAGTCATGTCATGCTTCTTGAACATGAGCCTTTAAAAATTCATTTTCTTTTTGGAGATCCTGTAACCACTTCCCTCTATTGGCTAGGTCTTTCTCCTCTCCTAAAACAGCCTTCGTGGTATTCATCTGTTCCTCCTTTCCTTTTACTAAGTTCTGAAGCTCCTGAACTTGAGAAGTGATAGATAACTGTTGAGCCTTTTCAAGCAGGACATTTCCTGTTTCTTCTTTTAGAGCCTCTATTTCCTGTTTCAAATCCTGAACAGTTTTCTCCTTATTAGCAACTTTGAGAAGTTCAACTTCCAGAAGTTCTTCTATAGATTTGATCTTTCCATCTTTCTCATGGATCACTTTTCTTCAGTTCTTCAACTAGAGAAGCAAAAGAAACCTGATCATTTTTCTTAGCCTTTAAGTCTTGAACTTCTTTTGTCAGAGATGAATTTTCTGTTCTTATTGCATTCAGTTCCTCCTCTCTGTTGGCCACCTGAATAAGTCCAGTTTCAAGTAATTCTTCTATAGTCTTTAACTTCTCATCTTTTTCTTGAATGCATTTTTCCATTTGTTCCACAACATCTTTACTGGGCTGTTCAGAAATAAGAGTCTGCAGTCTTTGAACTTTTAACTTTAATGCTTTGTTTTGGTCATTTAGAATCTTAAATTCCTCCATTTTGTTTGAAATTTCACAATAAATGGTTTTAATTTAACTTTTTTAGGTTTTTGAGACAGTCTCGCTGTGTAGTACAGGCTGGTCTTGAACTCTGTGTAGTCCAGGCCTTGAACTTATGGCAACCCTACCTCAGCCTCCTGAGTGGTGGTATTACAGATGTGCACCACCACACCTCTTTGAACATTTTTTCATGTATTTATTTGCTGCTTGTACTTCATCTGAGAAATGTCTATTTTAGATGCAAATTTTAATGTTTTGCCAACAGGTCGGGCACTGTTTTCCATAATGGCTGTACTAATTTTCATCTTCACCAGCAGTAGGTAAGGGAGTTGCTATTCACATTTAAATACAGTTTTTGTTTTGTTTGCTACTGAGTTATTTCAGTTTTTATAAATTTTGGGTATTTCTTATCAGATGTATAGTTTACAAATATTGTCTCTCCTGTAATCACTTCATTTTGTGGATTGTTTCCTTTATTATGCAGAAGTTTTTCAATTTTTTAAAACATTTAAAGTTTATTCCTACTGTAATGCAGGTTATTCAAATTTTTTTTAATAAATGAAGCCTATTTTATTACTTCAAGTGTTAATGATAAAAAAATTTCAGCACAGCTGTTCCATTTAAAAAAGTGAAAGTACATACTATATTTCTAGCTCAATAAACATGAACCTGATGTCTCTGAATGACATAACAATTGAGCATTCTACAGTACATCTTATGAAGACCTGTAAATTAAAGAACTACTGCTTTTAAGTTAGTGATTATGAAACAAATATGCATTCATAGTTTCAGCTTTTTTCTTCCTCTACCATCAGGTGCTCCATCTATTTTACACTTCTGTGTTGAAGGCTTTGGTCCTCGTTTCTTTTTCTCTGCCTTCTTTTCTAGCTCCATGTTTTCTCTTTCAATCAATGTAATTAAGGTATTACACCAGCTCTGGAGCTCCATCGCAGTTCTGGACTTAAGAAACCAATCAAATCTGAACTGAGGAGAGTTGCAGCTGCATTGCCGCAATTCATCAGACATTTTCCTTGTCAAATCCAAGCTTGTGAAGCATACAAATCAGAAAATGATCCTCCTCCTCTGTGTAGTTTTTTCCTTTGTGGGTACCATATGATCTTCAGAGCTGATGAAAAGGTGCTTTTTACCATCCAATCTTCATATCAAGTGTTTTTTTGATGCTTATTCTTCTTTGAATTCTTGCCTCACCCCTTTCAATCTGTGCCACGATCTTTTCTATGTCCTAGAGCTCATGGCATCTTTCCCAGAACACAGCTGAATATTCAATGACCTCTTCTGGAGTTTTTCCTTCCACTTCTCTTGCTATATTTTCAGTATCATCACGACCCCACTTCTCATTAGCTTTAATAAACTGGTTAAAGTCTCTCTTACTCCAATTGGTAAATCCCTGTGTCAGAAGCTTCTCTTTTTCCTCTAATTCCTCATCATTAAGGGGCTCCACTTCATCAGTTTTAAGCTGCTCTTTCTGCATCTGTGCTGCATTAGGAAGATCAGGACTTAGGGTACCTCGTACCCAATAGTTCTGTAAT